GCATCCCGTAGCCTTTAGACCGTTGATCTCGCATCCAACGCCAGGACTGAGCGAAATGCCGGGGTTTCGTCGGCCCAGGCTACGATGAACCAGAAGCTGGTCATCATCGTTGCGTGTGCGACGAGGGGGAGCAGCGGTATGTAGTTGGGGACTGGTAGGATTTTCTAGAGGCAGGCGCGGGCGGTTGTCTGTGCGCAAGGAGATGAAGTTGCAGGCAGGCACGTGGGTGCTCTCTTGCTTGCCCCGGTGACGGCACGGGGGCCCGTTTTTGTAGACTGTTTTGGCGGTTGAAACGGTCGTCCGAGGGGGTATTGTGGCGTTCGGGCAGGGGCGGGGCTTGTTGAGGATGTCTCGTAGTGTAGTCTATGGTTGTTTGTTGATCGTCGTCGTTTCGGTATCATCGTGTTCATTCCGACAAGATGTGAGGGAGGGAGGGAGGGAGGGTCTCCCTTCCTGCGGCGTCGTGGTCGTTTTCTCGCGGCTCCAAGTAGGGCGGAGGGGGCTGGATGTTTCGGGCAAGCTCTGGCTTGACCCTTCGGTAGGGGTCAAACAGGAAGATAGAACGTTTGCCTTTTGGCTTGTACCTTGGGCGGAGGTCAAACAAACAGGCTGGCACACCCCTTTCGGAGAAACATAGCGCCAGCGAGTGGAGGGCTATTCCTGTAATATTTTGATGATCGCCCCCCCTTTTACCTTTTTTTTCTCCCTACCCCGTTCTGGGCCTGGGTGTTGTACGGGAAGGGGTGTTCACGGCGCATACGCCCCCCCCCTCCCCGAGATTCTGTTTAGATTTTTTTGCCGGGGTCCCCCATGCGGTACCGGTAGGCGGTGTATATAGAGATGGTGGTGGTGGTGGTGGTGATGACGATAGCAAGCGAGCGTTCGCGGTGTAAATGTAGGCGACAGCGTGCGGAGAGCGTCGAACTAAGGCTGTTTTTTTTGGTATCTCGACTGGTATGGGGCCATCATAGTTGGTGTGGGGGCGGGTGATGTCGTTGGTAACATAGTTCTTGAAGTATTCAGTACACAGCTGTATGCACCGAGAGCTGGACACGGTACCGAAGTAGCGACGTGCCCAGTCTCCCGTTGTTTCATATGCTTCTTCGTGTATGCAGGGAAAGCATGTGGCGGGGGTCGTGCAGAGTATCTTGATTCCTGCTACTTTTTTTGATCTACCCAAAACCGGAATTTCCAATTTTCCGTCGATCTTTTCCCCTAGGCCCGCCGTTCCGGATATAATGACGTCCTGCATGTCCTCGACTGGCGTTGCTACTCTTTCGAGCGTGTGCACCTGAACGCGAACTCTTGTGGTAGGCTTCAACAGTGTTTCGTTTCTTTTTCCTTGTTGTTGTCCGTGGCGGTTTTGGTTACGTCTTGGAGGACCACCAGGCTGACCGCGGCGGACGAGAACGTCGCGTGTGCGTTTTGCGGGGAGCGCACCCCTAGCCAGGGGAGAACCGCCTACACCAAGGTATGGGCACGGCCGCCGCGTGTGCGTGCTTGAGGGTACCACGTCACGGAGGCGATGTGTGAAGGCCCCTAATCATGATTTTACCTGCAACTAGGAAGGCAAAGAGTTTACAACATCACGGGGCCCCCGCCCTCTACAACCACGGCTCCCCCTCCCCACCACCGGGGCATGGGCGTGTGTACGGTGGCGCATGGAAGATGGCAGGTTCTGACGGAATCGTGGAGTAAAAAGGATACTAATGTAATTGCATGCAAACTGCTCTACAGAAAATATAGGTCCCGTCTTTGCTTCTGCGTGACCCGAGCGGCGAAGTCCCCTACGCCAACCGACAAACCGCAGAGACGAGACACAGCCAAGTGATGTATCTTCCGTCTTGTATGTACACGCTCACATCGCGCTTGCATCCATCGCGCGGCTCTGCTCGACCCCAAACCAACCGCCGACGTCAATCACAGGCGCCTTCGACGCTGTTCGTCCAAGTCAAGAGGACGACGACCTGGGACAAAGGGGTCGCGGTGAAGAAATCCAGGCCGGTGACCTTCGAACGGGAAGCCCATGTTCCACTAGAGGGCCCTGTAGGCCAGGGGGGAGCCCCACGCACCACCAAGTACCAAGTTCGGGGGAGAGTTTCGGTGTGTATGTATGCGAGTGGCGCGTTCCCTCAACGGTGAAGAGGTAGGGAGGCGGGAAAGGGGATGTAGGGGGTGATGGGCGCGTGCTCGTCTCCTTACTTCCCCATGTCCCCCTTCCCACCCGATGCGTAAGAACCGAGTATTAGGCCCGGGCCGTGACGTTGTGCGTCGGCGGTATTGGGATGTAAAATTTGGCGATTGTGTCTGGAGCTGACGGCGCTTCGTGTTGCTACTCCGGAACCCACGCCGTCACAGGTTCGTGGTTCACATCGGATTTGAACCCACAGGCGGTCACTATGTCACATGCCGACATCTGAACAGTTCCCGCTGGGTTCAGCCAACAACTCTTTGGTGACGGAGGTGAGTACTAAATCGATGCGGCCTCCTTGAACCAGAGGCGTCCCACCAGGTTCTCCACCACACAGCTCTCGAGCGATACTTAGGCAGGGAGTGACATCGCAGAAATGGAGCCTTATTGTTTGAGGTCCTCGCTAACACAGCGCGCGCGCCTTGCTCGCTCAGGTAAACGAGGCCCGGGCCTTTGAAGAAAACTCAAGCTTGTTCATCCTCGCGCTGGACGGAAGCAACGGCGAAGGCGTTGCCGCCGGGGTAGGGGACTTCCTCGACGGGGCTGCCAGCGGCGTGGCAGGGGGCGCGGGTGGACAGGCGCCGGACGGCATGCAGGCGCCAGGATCAGAGAGCGGGGAGGTAAGTAAGACCTAGTTTCGAAAGGGAATTTATTTGGGAGCCGCCCTCGTGCTTGCCTAGCGTCGTAGCGCCCGAGCGTATGTTACTCCAAAAGACTTGGTGTCAGAATTGGCACGCCGGCAGAAGTATATTTGCCCGACGCTGTCGATGGGCGTCGCTTTCTTCCCCCTCTTTGTTTCTTCTGTGTGCACTCGAAACTAGGCCTTCCATGCACGTCACAGCACCCTCTTTGGATCATTCTGCGATGCAACCTTCCTAGGGAGACAGCGGTGGTGACAGGGAGGATAGTGGCCATAACAACAGCAGCAGCGCGGAGGTAATAGGTTTGTTCTGTGCCCATGGGGGGAAAGGAATTAATAGGGCTGGGCAGGTGACCTTTTTTTTTTCGTAGCCCCAGCCGATGCGGAATGATTGGATGGGGAGTGCGAATTCGTCGTGGGTCCCCGCCGAAACCCAGGGCCCAGGCTCTGTAGCGAACGCAAACATTTCGTCCGCCCCACCCACCCAGCACGCCCCATCCGTGACAAATCATTCGTCGAAACCCGTCCGGTGTCATTCTCCCCCAGGACTTCAACAGCGGGTGCCTCAACGGCGACGACGCCTCTGAGATGTCCGATAGCGACGGCGACGGCCAGTGGATGCCCGGCACCAAGGTTTGTGTTTCGTCGCCGGCGCAGCAGGTTCTCTTTGTTCTCCTACGGTTGTTGGTGACGCTGTAGACGGTGGTGTTGGTCGTTCGTCTTTACCTCCGCGTCTCGGTGCCTGCAGAGGGCGCGCGCGCGGAGGGGGCAGGGAGGTACTCAGTGTCATACATGTCGCACAGACCCACGAAGCCGGGACGGAGCATGCCTTCGTTTTTCGCGGGACTAGGTCCACATTCACATGGCGCGAAGAACACACCACGTCGCGGCGGCTGCGCACTGGGAAGGGGGCAGTTTCGCGCCCTGAGGAGTAGCCCTGCCCTTTGTATTTTTTTCGATCTTTCGTCGACCTCCCAGCTCTCAGGCCATGTTTTTTCAGAGAAGATGGGGGTGGGTGCTCTCGTCGCGAGTGTAGACTGCCCGGTGCCCGACGGCCGCCGATACGATGCGCCGCACGTATGCGGGAGGCCGTAAACGAGACGTCGCGTGTCTGCGTTGTCGTTTAGCCGAACAAAACGTACTGTGAAATATCGGTAGAGCACCTGATGGAGACAGTTCTTTCGGGGGTGACGCCGAGTTGGGCGAAAACAATAGTCGCGCACGCACGCACAATGCAACAATGCCAAGTAACCTTCCCCCCCCCGCCCTCGCCCCCTTCCGTTGTCATCGCTCTCGCACCAGAAGTGCGGAACTGCGGCGGCGTCGGCGGCAGCAGCAGCAGCGGGGGCGCCAAGCACCACAAGTCCGGCGGCGGCTCGGGGGAGACCACGAGCGAGGTGATGCTTTGTGTGTGCTTGTCGAAGAAAAGAAAGGGTGCCCCTCCAGATGCTTTCCCCTCAAAAGCAATCCGGTAGAGCGGCTATGACTGCCCTGCCGTTGTTGTTTTGTGAACGGCTGTCGCGTTATTCCCTCATTTTCTTCGTCACCTGTTTTGAGTGCTTCCTCGCTTGGAGGTAGGGAAGAGTCCCTCGCTGTCACTCTCCTGCCTCGAGGTCGTGTCGAAACGCAAACAGATTCATTCGCCCTGCGCCCTTAGCTGCCTGCCCCGTGCATCCGGATGCGCACTTGGGGTTGTTTCACCGCGACGGTTTCGTGGGCGAGCGTGCGCAAGTGCACCCCCTTGTTCACGCCGAAAGTATTGAGCACGCAGATTTTTCAAACGGCTCGCGCGCTCTCAAAACGCGAAAGACCTGATGACAGCGTCGACGATGACGGCCCCGTCGGGCGTCGGCGGTCAAGGGTAGAATTAGGATCAAGGCCATCGGTTTTTTGTCGAGAACAGCCCGCAGCGAATGCTACGTACAGACGAGCCGTCGGTCAGACATACACCCTCGTGCTTCATGGGGCTCTGGCGACGCATCCCTGTCAAGACGCACACACACACATTCATATGTCTTTGCTCTTCCCCTTTCCCCCGCCACATCCTCCTCGCCGGCTGCGTCACGTTACCGCCCCAGACCAACCACGACAGGGGCGCCGCCCTCTCGCCTGCCCAGGCAGATGCCATACAGTCTCTCGAGTGCGACCCGGAGTGGTTGTTTCTGCGTCTGTATTGACGACAGGAAGGTCACCCCGGCGGCGATGCAGGAGGCCCGCCGCCTGTTGGAGAACCCCCGCGAGTTGCACGGTCTCCGGAACGAGGCTCTGGACCACCCCCGAGTCTACCGGGGCACCAGATCGACGGAGGACCTCGACCGCCACCAGCTCCGCAACCTGGTGGGCACCGCCACCCTACCCGACAACGGCCTGGTCAAAATCCTCGGGTTCTTCCTCGGCGACCTGCGGGCGCTAGAGAGCGCGTGTGCCGAGGCGGAGCTGCAGGGGCCGGTGGAGTTGAGCAAATTCGTCGGCGACCGGGGTGTCCATGCGCCGGTAGTTCACGACCTCCCGGCGTTCGCCGGCGACCCGGCTGCCTGGACAGCTCCGATCCTCTTGGAAGCAGGAGATGTGCCTTCAGTATCAGAGGCGCGCGTTCTTACCACAATGAACCCATCACCACCACCACAACAGTGGGAAGGTGTCCCAAGCGGTCAGCAACGTCTCGTTCTTCGAAGGTGGGCCGGCCGGGCACGATAAGCGACTGGGGGCATCCTGCGTGGGAGGTGGAGGGGGATCAGAACGAGTCCTCGGTGTCCGCGATCCCCCAATGCGCTGCGCTGTCACAGCTACGCCTCGAATTCCGTCAAGCAGCCGTAGTGGTCGCGCGCTCGTCCGGGCTCGGTCTTTCCTTCACCACTTCACCGCGACTCCTGGTGTCGGGGTGTACAGGTGGTGGGGACATCGCCCAGACTGGGCGCGGGACCGACACTGGAACAGTGTC